AAGATCGGCAGCGGCCGAGGAATGGTGTCTGCATACCCCCGTCAGCTGGAATCTCTCATCAGACTGGCTGAAGCTCATGCTAAAGTTCGATTCTCAAGCAAAGTGGAGAGCATCGACGTAGAGGAGGCCAAGAGGCTGCACAGAGAGGCGCTGAAACAGTCCGCCACTGATCCCAGAACAGGAATCGTCGATATTTCCATCCTCACCACAGGTGCGTTTAGATTCACTGCTTCGTTCAGAATGGTACTATTACCTCTATCACTACAGAAAATAAAGCCTTGATTAAAATGTAACAATTGTGGAAGTAATTTTACATTTTGTATATAAATAATTCATTTATACATGCCAAAATTAACCGAATGATAAAGTTGATTGATAAAAAAAATTAACTGAATGATTAAAATATGTTTTGGGGTTATTCCATGCGCAAACCATAATTGAATTACTGAAACATTTCTAATGTTTAATTTTAGCTGCAGTAGAGTTGAGGGATTGCGCAATGTGATTTTTTTTTTTTTTTTTAAACATTAAAATCTAGATTTTATTTGTTAAATTAACAGGTATGAGTGCTACAGCACGCAAGCGCAAAGAGGAAGTGGCTCTTGCTCTGAAGAAACTCATCCAGTCCAAGGGAAAAACACCCACCATGAAGTACCAGCAGCTGTTCGATGATCTCCGTGGCCAATCTGAAGCGGTGTGTCTTTAAAATTGACATTTACAGAATGTTTTTTAACTTTTGTACCGGATACAGAACTTAAAATTAAATTTTTTTCCTGCGGTTTCAGGCCATAACCAAAGACATGTTTGAGGAAGCCCTCCGAGCTCTGGCTGATGAAGATTTCCTTACGGTCACAGGAAAAACAGTTCGGCTTCTGTGAATGTTCATTTCCTCTTTTGTTTACTTGTTTGTTCCGGTCGCATGTTAATACTAATATGTGGAGCCTTTCTTCTCCAAATAAATGAGTTTGCCATAAAATGTGTTTATATATGCTTCATTTTAACATGGAAGGGATTGATTTTTCACTTTTTATTTTAACCAAGTGTAAATATTATATCATTGTGTTATTTGTCTTTTGCCCCCCAAAAAATGAAACTTATCTTCTCCTAGACTCGGCCACCAAACTTTGCCAAGACATCCAAACTGGTCTGAGTCGGGGTGCTATGTTTTTAGACTGATGCCACTAAAGGAATGGATTTGATTCAGCCATTAATAACTTAATTTTTTATGACTACAATCAGTGCCCTAGCAACCAAAGTGTTTACCCTAGCAACCCAATTTTATGCACTTTATCTTAGCTTTGGTGTAAGAGAGGGGGTTGGTTTAAATGACATTGCGACAAAACCAACATATTTTGTCACTGACCCCTCCTCTATAGCAACCAGATTGTTTACCATAGCAACCAACTTGGGATATCTCTACTCAGCTTTGGAAAATTGTACAAATATGGGGGTTGGTTTATTTTATTCTTAGTGACATGGGGTACAATGTATTATGATACTGACCCCTCCTTAGCAACCAGGCTGTTTACCATTGCAACCAATGTGGTATATCAGTCTTGGCGTGGGATAATTATTGAGAAATAGGTGTTGGTTGGCCACTCATTGCGAAATTGGCTTTAAACTGCACTTTTTCAAGCAAAAAAAAAAAAAAATCAAAGTTTGTATTAACTTAAGCCATCTAGTTAATTACCGGTAGTTTCAGTTCCAAAGGTAAGTAAGGGATTACAGTTATAACTAGTAATTAATTACTTTTAGAAGTTACTTTTAGAATCTTGCTGAGTTCACTTCAACCAAAAACCAAGTTTCAGAATGCGATGGCATAGTTAATGTAGGACCACGTATGAAAGCAACCTTCAAAATTGTAGATTATGTCTGATCTGAGACACAAATGAGCAAAAAATCTCAATTGGGTCACATTTGATTGGCAGTGAAAAATGGATCTTAATTCCATGTGTTTATTTTCTAGAACGATCTTGGAAAGTTTTGCATCCTGCAGTTTATCGATTAACCTCTTAATATAAGCTCCATTAAACTGCGGGGGTGATTTTTTTTTTTTTTTTTTTTTATTTTTTCCTACTCGTTTCATTTATAATAAGCCTTACATTTTTGCTCAATGACGGGTCAGCCGTTGACCATATAACTGGAGAAACCTTCACCCAGGTATCTCCCCTACATCCATGTACCATCTTGTTGCACCCTTTGCCTATCTTCAATTATTCTGAGGTGATGCATTTCCAAGACTGATGGTTTAGAGACCCAGCATCCGAAACCAATGGGTGAACTGAACGATGCGTTGTGTTGAATGCAGTGGTGTAAAGTAACTAATTACAAAAACTCAAGTTACTGTAATTGAGTATTTTTACAATTTCTTTTTCCTCAGAAATTGTATTTTAGTGAGTAGATGTAAAAATGTATACTTTTACTTGAGTGCATTTCTAGTTCTATATCTGTACTTTTACTGCACTACTTTTCTTCAAACTGCCTTAACTACTTTTTCTGCAGTGATTGGTGCTTATTTTGTCCAATCATATTGCATGTAGTGAAACTGCCCCTGAAAAATATGATCTAGCAAATGTAACCAATACTATCACATGAATTATATAAATTATAAAATTAAAATAAAAAAAAAATTATTATTATGCAAGAACAGCAAATTTTCTTTTATTGTTTCAATTTCCAGGAAAATAGTAAAATGTATAATTATGTAGCAGTTACTCTCTCATGCTCTTTTTTTGTCTACTGTTTCTCTATCAATTTCAATTTCACTCTTGCTTCTCTCATTTTTCTTTCACTTTATCTTCCTTTCTTGCCACTATTTTTCTCCTTCTCTTTCCTCTCTCCTGTATTTCTATCTTTTGTTATTGTACTCTCTCACTTTCTCTTTTCAAAATCTGTCCCTCTTATATTTCATTATTTCTGTCTCCTTTCTTTTTTTCTCTCCTCTCCATTCTATCTGTTTGTCTCTATATCTTTCTTTCATGCTTTCTTTTTCTTTCCCTCTTGTCCTTTCCATCTATTTCTTTCGTCTCTTTCCCTATCTCACTTCTAATTCCATCTACCTTAGAAACAACCTAAGTGGGCTACATCTTTAGTTTGTAGGACATACAGTGAAAGATATCAGTGTAATACTTTTTGAACAGATACTTTTACTCTACTTCCTTAACTCTTTTGGCAAGTAGTGGTACTTTTACTCGAGCAGGATATTTCAGTACTCTACACCACTGGTTGTATACAATCAATAAAGTAAACACAGGAACACAAGTAACGTGTATAAACTAGTCAGTGGGGAAAATGATAAGCTAGCCAAAAGTGTTAGTGGTATGTCACATGAACTTAAAAAAACTGAGGGCTTGTATTAAACTATTGTCAATTCAAGAGGTGAACTTTAAATAAAATGGCACTTTGTATTTAAATTAACATCGATATAGGTGAAGTGGATTTGTCTCTAAAATGCCATAGATTTAGGCTTCAAATAAAAGTACAAATTGTTATTCAGTGGGCGTGGAGCCATGCCTCTTCCTTTCTCGCTAAAATTGCTTTAGTCACGTGCCACTCGTACGTCACGCTTTCGTACACTTGGACTCGGGCTGGAGAAGATGGCGGCCTCCTCAGGTTTGTCTCCAAATCTCCCCAACCCTCGGGTGTCGCGTTACTAATTTCTATCGATAAAAGTGCTAAGTTCGTGCGTTTCAACCTAACGTACACTATCCACAAGATTGCTACATTTAAATGCCTTCCTTCGTTTCTTTAAATATGTCTACTTTAACTGATTGGGTTAGCATTGAGCTAAAGGCCCTCCAACAGACCAAGGCTTTTAAAATCATATAAGTTTTAATATATTATGCATTTGGTATTATTGATCCAATCTAGTCTAAACGTGTCGCCGATTGAAACTACAGTAAAGATTAACTTCGATACATTTCTGTTGGTCGGGTATGTCGATGCAATGTGAGGCGAGGCGCTGCATTGACGCGCATGCCGCTGCTGGGGTGACTGAACGGGCCTGAAATTAATGTTCATGTGATAAAAGAGCACTAGAGTAAATCTATTAATACCGATTCAGTCTATTTGATGTTTCGAGTCCGTTTTATGGTGTTTCAATTTTTTTTTTGGTTGGGTACACAACATTGAATTGATGCAAATCAGTTTCATAACAATGCAACGTTGCATCCGGCGTCTGATTTGGTTTGTACGCACTTTATTAATCACTTTAAAAGTGATAAATCTTAATATAGCTTATGAATTGAGTCAAATATAGTTGATTAACCTCACAGTGATGAATGTAATTTGATACGTATTTAGTGCACACATAAATAATAATAAACATATTAAACATTATTATTAATTTATAATACTTTCTATTAGTACATGTACTTGTCATATTAACAAATTAAAATGTTTCATAAATTGAGATCCTGAAGCAAAGGTCTGCTCAGTTCAGTCTAATTCAACCTTCTTTCATCTAGAGCTTCTGAGGAAGTGAGAAACTGTGAAAATGCAACTTAAGTGTAATTTCCTGAATCCTTCACATCCGGGTAAACAGCTTGGTGCATCTCACCTGAACTTGTGTAACGTGTCTCTCCACTTTTCTACCCTTGAGTGTCTGAAGGGACCAGATTGCCCCGGACTGGGTTAATAGACAAATCACAGACTGACGCACTGTGTGGAATTTCAAGAGACAAAAAAATTGTCAGAAAATATTGTAACGCAATTTAAAGGTTTAAAGATTCTGTTTAGAATTTTGTGTAAATCAGTGTTGTTTGAGATTGGAAATTTATTGAATGGAAAGTGTAACCGACTACCTTTTTAGTCAGTCAACTGCTAGCATTATAGTGTATTTGGCTAAAGTTCGGTAGGTTAAAACAAAGCACGAGTTGTTTATTACGCATTAAACTATGTTTTGTGCACAATAATGTCAACATGTTTGATTGGCAGACACTTTTTATAAAAAAGCTACTTACATTCTGAAAGAATGAACACATTTTTTTGTCAGTTCTTGTTTTTCCTGGTATTTGAACCCATAACCGTTGCGTAGTTAGCTCAATGCTCTACCAATGGAGCCACAGGAGAGCTGTTTAGAGAATGAATCATCTGTATAGGTCACAAATCTTTGTTGACCAATATTTGTACTAGAGAAGGAATACTTTTTTAGCATGTCATTTTTTTTTACTTTGCCGCATATTTGACTCGCATATGATGTATAACAGTGCGTTTAATTCGCGTATGAAATATTTGCCTTTCGTACCTTTAATTCGTATCATTCTTGATGTGTAAAGGTCTTTAATGTTCGCTTTCTAATTGGGCGAATCATCAGTCCGTCATAATGCCCTGTCCACAGTCCTGCATACTTGGTTATTGGAAAAAAAAAAAAAAAAAAAATATATATATATATATATATATATATATATATATATATATATATATATATATATATATTTTAGCACTCTTACACACGTAAGCGTAGCATCTTTTCATGTAACTGCTCTTTTTTCAACAATGACGGTCAAGGTGTTTTGAAAACACTGAGCACACAAGTCTTTCTGGGTGGGGTTTATGATTGTGGTCATGATCTGTGTCTTTGTTTACAAACTCCAAGTGCAATGGTGGATGAAATGAGGGGTGTGCTGCTGTTTACCCTGCTATCGTATCTTCAAAATCAGCAAATAGAACTGCTTGTGTTTTTGCAACCACAATGCTCAATACTCATTTTTAAAATTGGAAAAATGCACAATTTGACTGCCACCTGTTGCTTTGGTATAGTGGAAACGTTTTTTTTTTTTTACACAGTGTGAGAAATAACCTGTTTTAAAAAAAACATGTTAGTGTGGACATGACCTAAGACTAGAACAAGAATGAGCCAAAAGCAGGTTAAGTGGTGTACTCTGTATAAAGCACCTTTACTGACCTTTATACTTGCAAATATTATTGGTTGAATTATATAAATGCTGGATTATGATTGTGTGTGGGGTTGAACTGAAGTTGTGATATTTTAACAAATAATTATACAGCTGGAAGTGAATCACCCCTTTTCATGAGAATAGGTAGAGGATCTTTTTCGTCTTTTCTTTGTCTTGCACTTCAACCCTGTGCACATAAAGGTGATGTATTTCCTGTTCTAGGGTGGAGCTAGACTTCTCACAGTTTTCAGTGGTTTCCTATTCTTTTTAAATAACCTTTTCCATATTTCAATTCTCCAATAGCCTTGCAGAGTGTAACCATATGATGTCAAACAGAGAAGATTATCTGCCTGATAATCTAATTTTATACTTCATCTTTGTCTTCTTGTAGGAGTTAAAGTTCCTCGTAATTTTCGTTTGTTGGAAGAGCTTGAGGAAGGACAGAAGGGTGTTGGTGATGGTACGGTGAGCTGGGGTTTGGAGGATGACGAGGATATGACACTCACACGGTGGACAGGCATGATCATTGGACCTGCACGAGTATGTTAGTTTTTTTTATAAACATTTGTTTGAATGTCAATGAGATGATCCCAATATTTAAATCTCAAATACACATAGAACTATACTGTTACTGAAATCTGGTGGAAAGCAGTTCTGCACTAGAAAACACATTTAGTCTAACACACTGCGCATGGTACAACAGTATGATGTCTATATCAAGATCCATAAAGAAATACTGAAATTAAAAATTTTAACCCGTCATAAAATGTCAAGGTTCCAAGGACCTGTCCATTTTTAGAAAGTCAAGATATTTTAAAAAGGATTCTTTTTGCATCTGTATTCCATAATATACAGCTTGTTGATCTTTTAGATGTGTTTGCAAACTTTGCATTTCCACTTTAACCTTTGACCTTTCCTTCATTTTCCAGACTAATTATGAAAACAGGATATACAGCCTGAAAGTGGAGTGTGGTGCTAAATATCCTGAATTACCACCGACTGTTAGATTTGTAACAAAAATTAGCATGAATGGGATAAATAACTCCAATGGGATGGTAAGTTGACTTCTTTTTGTTTTGTGTAGACCAGGGGTGCTCACACTTTTTCAGCTTGCGAGCTACTTTTAAAATGACCAAGTCAAAGTGATCTACCCGCTAGAAAAATATAAAACATCAATCAACAAACAATTATTTTCAACTTTATTGAGAATTGACAAAACACACATAATAATTAATTATTTACATTTTTTGTAATAACGTGAGTTTAATTTGATGACTTGCACTGAATTGAATCATTAGAACAGTTGTGTGTGACCTGAATTTGGTGGTAATAGAGTGATTTTTATGGGAGCAATTGAGCTTTGATCCAAATAATCAAGAATAAAATGATGCTCTAATAAATATTTCAATATTCATTGAAACTGAGTCGTGCAGTACAATATGCAGGTGAGGAGTGGCGTGTTGCTTGATTTTGGTTGTAATAGAACAATTTAGAATGAAGTTATGAAGCATATTCTGGGTAAAACATATTTTGGTGATTCCATGTCAGCGGGTTGCTCATAGACGGTAATGTGTTTCTGCGAATGCCGAGGGAAACTTGTTTTGATAAAAAACGTTTTGTAGTTTGTCCGCTACATAACACAGATTAAAAATAGGTATTATTTGTTTACTAAGAACATTCAGGTCTCGAGCTATTGAGCAGAAAAACCGAATCCGTGAATCTGCAGATAACTTTACTGAACTGTGACGGGATGGATGATCGGCTGATATTGTTTCAATTTCACACCGCGATCGACCAGCAGCACCTCCGGTCGATCGCGATCGACTTAATGAGCACCCCTGGTGTAGATGGTCTTGTGTCTGACATGAAATTAATGAAATGCTAAGTTTTTGGGAAGGACCTGTAATTCTCTAAAACAATTGGTGGTGATATATGAAGGGTATTTGCCATAGTGAATGGCAAAATCCGTTCCAGGGTGGCGTTGGTATCTTGAACTTTTCGTATGTTGAAGCAGGTTTTACACGTAAAACCCCTAATCTGTGCAATGGCTCTCAGAAACAACTGTATAAATTGAAAAAAGAAAACGGAAACCAGAGAAGTAACTTTTCTTCGATCCTTAAACCTACGTAATAAATGGTTGAAAATAGAATAAAACTCAATTAGATAAATGCAAAAAAATAGGTCCACAAAGTGAAACCATGCGAGTGAGGCCGTGTGTGTTTACGACTTATGAGCACCAACACGAAACCAAAATCCTAAAAGAAATGTTTATTAAGTGGAAGTGCTGTGCTGTAGAAAGTTTAGAACATCAGTTTATTAGGTGAACCCCTCCTAACCTTTTCAAATTCATCTAATCTGAGCAATATAAAAGCCTATATATGAATGCAGACCTTTTTATCTCATAACTCGTTATGAATTTGAATTTTATTGCTTTCTAAGGCTTTTGAAAGGTTTACACACTAAGCTGTTGTAATTAGACTAATTAGGCGAATGCTTGTGTGAACAAATGCAATCAATCCAAGTACATTTTTTTTTCTGACCATCAAACTTTAAATGTCTTTACACATCTATGCGCTTTTATGCAAGGGCTGCATGCAGTACATCTTTAGCCTTAATTACACAGGGGCTAATGTAACTGTAAACACCAGCCGGAAAAATGCTGCGTCATTTTTCGAGAAATGCACCCAGCCATTTTTTTTCCACACAGTGCGTTAAATGCTGTGTTTGGCTCTTTTAGTTATTTGTCTTCAGCTGGAAATGCAGCAATAGGTGGCACTCGAGAACAAAACAGAGAGCCCTCTCTCTCTCGTTGCCTGCAGATAATTGCTGTCTTGTGTTCAGGAGAGGGTCTGTGCCTTCATTTTTAAATGCAAGATAAAGACGCAGGGAGCTGATGACACAGTCGCCAAAGTGCCGTGCAGCAAACGCATACGTGTGTAAAGGCCTAATCAGTGTGGAAAAGTGATGTGCGCATCTAGAATTAAACTATTTCCACAATGTCTTATAGTCATTTTTGGGCAGTTCATTGAAAGGATGTGTGATCTTCAAACTGAAGGTGCGATTATACTTCCCTATCAAGCCTTCTCACGTCCTCTGCCAGAGAAAGTCATAGACCCCTCCACTGTAGCTGACATGCACCTTCCAAAAATTGTCATTTCACGCACATAGATGGGGCTCTGTGATTTGTCAGTTTAGTGATGGGTTCATATCTGTTCAACTTCTCCATAAATAAGAGGAAGAATAAACACAAACGTTTTCTCTCCTTCCCCTGTTGAAATTTGGGTGTTTTCCCACATCAATGTAGTTAAGCTCCAACACAGTATGCCGAGTTTCAGTCGCCGTTGTTGTTTACTGCAAAAAACTAACGCAAAATGCTTGACAGAGAATATCAATCCAGCTTGACTCGTCAACACTGACTCATTTTTAGGAATAATTTGTTCATTGGAACCAGTTCTATTATTCCAGTACTTCTTATTCTCTCAACACCCGAAGAATAGCGGGTTCTTGCGTTTTAGCTACAACTTGACTAATCCTCTTTCCGACTTAATCTTCAAAGGTTTTTATGATTTGGATTCACCAAATCAGACATTTCCATCAAAAATACACATCTGCTCACTGTTACATGAAGTATAGCAGGCCAGCAATCGATCCCCTTACAATAAACACAATACATTGTTTATTTGTCTGGTTTACCTCTTCATTTTCAATACCTCACTTTGGTTTTCTTTGAATGTGTTCATCTAAAAAAAAAAAACAATTCACCTGCAGTATTTATCCAATACATTTTCCTAGTAGTAATATAATTGTGCTTTGATTGGATTGTTTCAGCCAGTGAATCAAAGATACCATTTCTAAAGCTTTGATTCATCTGAATCATCCAAAATTCAAATCACTACCTTGTCTGTTTATTCTTTTTGGCTCACTTGACTCATGTCCATCCCTCCCCTGCTCTCTTTTCTTTCAGGTGGATGCACGTAGCATACCAATTCTAGCGAAATGGCAAAACTCATATAGCATTAAAGTCGTTCTTCAAGAGCTAAGGCGTCTTATGATGTCCAAAGACAATATGAAGCTTCCTCAACCACCGGAAGGACAGACGTACAGCAATTAATTGTCAAAGATTGTTATGACCCTCTGTCTTAAACCTTACTCTCTTAGAAATGTCTTGTAAAT